CGACATACCTAGTTGTTCTAATAAAGCCTGCTTTCAATAATCGCTCTATCTCTTTCTTAATCTCAGGGAGTACATTAGGAGCAAAACGTCTAGGAGGCTGCCTATAAGGTTTAAAATTAGGCTTAGTTGGTAACCTATGTTCCACCAAGTCTCTATCTAAACCAGGCATTTGTTCATATTCCCAAGCAAAACAATCTTTATACTCCTTTAGCAAAGCGATTAATTTGTCACTAACCTCTTGATCGAGCATCTGGCTGATGAATGTTAGACGATCTTCTCCTTCATTGCCAATATTTACTTTGATCAGAGGGTCTTGTGCTTGAGCGTATCCAGGTTTGATGATCCGCATCACTTCGTCATCCAGTTCCCTTGTAAGTACTTTTTCTTCTAAACAGTCCACCTTGTTGACTTCTCGGCCAATGCTTTGTTCTAACTCGAATACTGCTAATTTGTCTTTCAGCGCTGTCTCTTCTTTCGCCTTGTCATTACATTCCTTGTTGAAAGCCATTAATTTGACTTTGAAGGCCTGAATATCGGCCGTTTGCTCTTGTTGCTTAGAACTCATTCAAGACTCCTAATTATTCTTTTGTCAATTACTGGCTCTTCTAGGGCCACTATATTTGGCCTCATCTGTCTGAACATTTCAGTGAGTGCGTCCACTGAAAATGGCTCTTCGTTTTGTGCGACAACTTGAGTTTCTTCCCCATCTTGTACTACCCTAACAGGTCCATAGCTTCCTTCGTACATGAACTTTTCCACCGAGTTTGCTTCTGCGACAAAAGGCCTATAATCGGCCTGTACCACCTCTGCTTCGCCCTTGTTATTCCAAAAAATCAGGCATTGATGGAGCGATGAGGGTATACAGTGACTTCCGTGTATCCAATCTCTTCCTAATAACACATTGTAACTAGTAGGACCATCTATTACAAAGAAGACTGTGGTCCTAGTAGTTGTCCCTATAGTTATGTCCAATGGCATAACTCCCTTAGTTGAAGTTGCTCCTCCATTGAAACTCGTAAGGATGACTTCTGTTGGAATCATGTCACCCTCTGTCTTTGTAAATTTCCTCATCATCCTAGATGGAATGGTGTTTATAGCTGCTCCATTGTCGACAAGCACTTTCGCTACAGGGATGCCGTTAACTAGAGTTTTAACGTACAATGGCCTCAAGTGTTTAGTCAATTTCATGGCTGCCCTTTAAAAATAACCTTTTCGGCAGCCTCTATTTCTACTTCCTGCTTGTTTTCTATCGAATTATCCCCCTGTGATAAGTCGACGTGCAGCATATCGCGCTGAGCCTTTGTCTCCTGAATTTCTTCCTTGCTGTTTTCTAATGCTTCCTCATCAGTTACCCAACCTGTGGGAGGGGGCATTATTCTTGGAGGTGATCCATACTTTTCAGAGCGATGCACTCTCTTCTTCCTTTTGGGCGTCCCGTACAGTATGTAGAAATCGAAAGGACGCCCAGATGGTTCTCCCAACAAGTCTACTTCGCAAACTCCCTCTTGATGTAGTTGCTTCAACAGAGTATTGGGCGATACTCCTCTCCTTCTTCTTTCTGCTTCTAGGTCGATTTCTTTTTCGATGTCTGTCATCCCGTCGTCTTCTTCATCGTTGTAGGCCTCTCTAGAAGTCTGGCCTTTTTCACATTCCAGCACGCAAGTCTCTCCTTCGTTGTCCTCCTTTTCTTCTTCTTCTTTTTCTTTATTTTTGAATTCATTGGCCAGTAAGTAATTACTAGCCATGACAGGAGGTAACGTACCGAACTGGAGAATAAGGGGCTGCTCTGGATCTTCTCCATCCCTTCTATCTCGCTCAAACTTTGATCTCACAGAAGAAGCTTCTGGCAGTTCTTTCATTGATTCATCTACACCGGTCTCTTCACTATCTTTGAGAACATTTTGATTGGCTACCCTGAGTTATTTAGGCGCTTTAGGATGTGGCACTCCCTGTTGCTGCCTCATCATTCGTCCATAGTTTCGTTGGAAACGCTTTTGTTGGGTTCTAGTCATCTCATCGAAGGGTATTGCCCTTCCTGCATTATACTAGAACGAAAGCCATACATATGGCCGGCGAGGTTGCGGCCTGAATGTTCTCCCATTATCTACTGGCCTGAACTGCCTCTCAAAAGACGGTCCTCTATAGAATGATGTACCTTGCCCTCTACCAGGCTGAGTGTTTGGGAAGAAAGTAGGGCGATGGGGATGCTGCCATATACCTGGTTTCTCCGTGTTCCCACTCACTTCTCTTTTACATCTTGCACACAGGACATCTTCGTCCTTTTTTGGCTCTTTCCCCTTGATTCGTTCAAAGACACCAGTGGATGTGATCCAGGGTCCTCTTCTCCATCATCTATGACCAACTTGAATTTTGACAACTTGTTTTTGAAACCAGACGTCACCATGTTCACTCCAAGTGGCTGTGGAAAAGGATTTTCATCCACTGCCATCTTCTTCTTATCGTTGAACGTAATTCGTCCTGATTCAATGACATCCTGCAATACATGGCGAAAAACCAACCAATTGTTAGTCAAATGTGACCATGCATTATGCCACTTACAATATTTTTTACCCTTAATTTGTTCAGGGTTTGGCAATTTATGCTTATCGCTCAGCTTTATCTGCTTATCCCTATATAATTTATCAAATATAAGGTCGGCTTTTGTTACATCGAACAAGAACGTTCTAGCCTTTATGTTTCCATTTTTTATGGGCTCATCTTTGCTCGATGGTCTAGGCTTAGCCATTATAGGATAAGTATACGTGTCTCCTTTGAGCAATTCGGCCAAACACATTTCGGCTTGATCGTATGACTCGACGCTGATGGTATGAACGTCAAAATTTGGGTCTTTGTAATAAGTCCCTTTACTAGAATTTTTCATCTGCTCTTCTTTTCTTATCAATCGTTCATACCTAATCACATTCGCACTCAACTGGAAAAGGTCAGGAAATTCCTTGTCTTGGAATTTCTTTTTTAAATCAAAGCTCAAACAACGCTGAGCGATTTTGACAAATTCTTTCTCGGGCAAAGGTACAAAACACTTGCTTCTTGCTATCTTGAACCTTTGGAGAAAACTTTCTGCCCATTCGTTTGGCATTTGGCGTAGATTCGCCAAATCAGGCAAAGTGACTTCAGACTCGATTTTATAAAACTGAGCGTGGAATAATTGTTCCAATTGTTGCCATGTTTGAATAGAGTTCGCTGGCAAGTTGATGAACCAGGAGAAACCTCATTTTATGGTAATCAGTTACATCACCACTTTGCAATGTGAATCGCCCTATGTGTTCTAGAGTAGACACCTCTCCTAAACCGGTAAACGGTGAGAATTCTGGCTCTTTATACCCTCTAGGCCATGGATATGCTTGGTCTACCCAATTAGGATATGGCTTTGTATAAGTCGGCCTAATGACAGGACGCACCCCAAAAGCCATCTGATCCTGTGCGATTTCCATAATCTGATTCCTCAACATGACGTTGGGGTCATATGAAATTCCTACAGGTTGGTTAACCGGTTGATTTGCATGAGGCCTAATGTTTGGTCCTTGATTGGCAACAAAGTTACCATGATCAGGGTCATTACCATTAGTCTGGACATCTATTCCCTCATTAACACGTGGGGTATTCTGTCCATTGTTTAGGACATTATCTTTTACATTTGGATTACCCACCAAGTTAGGTGTACCACTACCATTGTTCTGATTTGGCACTGCACCACCCCCTTGGTTTGAAGTAGAGGGACCAGAAAGTGGTTCTATCCCTTGATTCGGATTTAGGACTGAGGGATTATGTCCCACAATTATCCTAGTTTCAAAGTGGTTTGCAAGAGGCATAACCGGTTGACATATTTGGCCTACTAACTTATTCATTATTTCGTTCAAAGTGTTTAGTTGTTTGGCCATGTTGCCATAATGTGCATTCCCATTTTGGGTAAATCTTTCCATATTATGAATACTTCAAAGATTTACCTGTTCAACGACATCTTGTGTGAGTTCTCCAAGTAGTGCAATAGTTCGAGGACTCAACTCTGTCATTGGTTCGTAACGACTGTTATTGCTCTGATTCTGTCCATCTGTTCGTGGAGAGGCATGTTGCTCTTCATATCGCTCGATTACAGACTGGACTCCTCCCTGACTTGCTGCTTTCTTATCGGATCTCTGAGGCATATTGTTTCAACTTTTGTATTTTCGACACCAAACACCACTGTCCCACTGGGCGTGCCAAATTGTTTCGTGCGGGTCGTCGCTAACAATTAAAAAGGAATCAAATGATTGTGTAAGGGACAGACCTCTTGAGACAAAGTCCCAAATAGGGGTGTTCTTTATTGGCCATGACTTTACAATCGGAAAGTAAAAACAGAATGCCTCCAAGGGGCGCAAGCACACGAGTTACTGAAAGAAGTGTTTAAATCTAAACTAAAAAATTTAAAATTACATGTTCTCCGCTCGAGAGTTTTTCGATTCCGGGGTCTTTTACTCTATGTCTTTTCTTCCTTTTATACTCCCTGGATGATCTCTTTGTGATCAACCGCCTAAAAACTGTTTGATCGTTCTATAACTGCCCACTTTCCTCGTAATGGTCAACTTGTCATGGAACTGCCTTTTCTAACTGCTGCCATTACTCTTTGTCGTTCAACCGTCTTCAATTGAATTCCTTGAATCGTGGAACGTGATAGGGCTGCTTTAATAACTGCTTTGATAACTGCGCTTCTTGATAACCACAACACTTCATGTTTGCTAAGACCTTGGGCGACTCGAAGGTTTGGGCGAGAATAGAGTAGCAGTTCTGGGCGACTGCATGGCACTCCATTCGCTCAAATCCTGGGCGATTTGCAAGCTTGGGCGATGGTGTTACCGCGTTCATGGGCTTCCCTATTTGGGCCTTCATCTTGAATTGTCTGATTGGGCTTCGTTCTTTGGGCTATCTGATTTGGGGATCCTCCAATTGGGCTTCATTCATTGGGCCGTTCGATTTGGGCTGAATTTTTATGTGTCAACAATTACCATTATCAAGTCCGACGACTGACTTCAGAAAATAATCCACATCCACGACCATACTCTGGATTTTGATGCACTCGTGATGATTGTGCAGGAGTCCCTCCTCCTCAATGCAAACGGGAACATTTTCAAGATATACCATCTAAAATCATTAAAGCACAACACTATCACTAGATTCAACAAAAAGTATTCGTACAAGTTGTAAATTCTCTTTAATAATCACACATCTAAATATTTCAGTTGCTAACACAGGCAAAAAATTTCTTCACAAAACCTGGTCCCGGATTACCTTGTTTCTTGGTCATACTATCTGAAATCAATAAACCAAAAAAATTCACACAACTAAAAATTCTGGCTACCAATGTACGGCGAACTTTACTTCTGCTTCATATTCCATCACTTCAAAACTTACTGTACGTAATCAAAAAACTAAAAAGGGAAAAATATAATGAAACCAGATATCAAATTAGGGATTTATTGAAATGAACACCAATATAAACCCTGGTGAATATAGATAATTTTGAACGTGCTTATCTACTTTTCAACAGAAAGTCTTCACTATTTCAAGAAACCAGGGTCTAACTTACGGAATTACCTTCGATATGTGCGAGCTTTCTTTGCCTTTCTACAGAATTTCTATATATCTTTCTCTATATTTGCTCGAAAACCTCTTGAATATTGCTTGGAAATTTCCTCCTGTGGTGGCGATTTGTTGAAAATTTTCAACGGGCAAATTGTGTTGAAAGGCTCTTCTTCTTATAGAGAAGTGACGAACCAACGGTCAGATTTTGCCCTCTCAGAAGAGGGCTCCGTTCTTAGCGATTTTACAAGAATGACATTAAATTTTCCCCCCCTCCTTTTGCTTTATTTTTGGTGTAATGGTTTATTTTTTATGAGTAATTAGAACAAAAGTTCTATCTTTCAATGTTATTGTGCAAAACGTTCGTATCTTTCATTTTTTTTGACATTTTCACCCCTGCATTTCACATTTCATTGATCAAAAAGTCATTTTCAACCTTTTTTCAATAAAATGACGATTTTACCCTCATATTAAAAAAATTGAATTACCAACTGCAATCATAATCCATAAGTTTTTAGAAAATTACAAAGAAATTATGAATTCTCCACCACCACCACTATCACAACCTACTAAGCTGTCACCTATAGATTCACATAGCATCACCTTTCGGCCATCTTGCCCACCGAACTCTACCACGACCAATCCTCTCACACACGAATTTGAATCATCGGAGCAGTTAGGACCCACCAATTTTAGTCAGACAGCTCTCGACGTGCCTCGCGCTTGTAGAGAGTTTTAGATCAAAAATTGAAACGGTTGAGAGGATGATTTGTTCAATTAGATTCATAACTATTGTCGTTTGGGTTTGTTGATGGATCGATTGATGCCAATTTGGGGATTTCATGTTGCGGGATGCATGAATTGAAGAAGAAGAGTTTGGGAAAATGGACGTTGGCACTGTCGAATGTTCTAGTGTTACAATAAAATGATATGAAGCAGTTTTGATTGATGTGAGGCTATGTATAGGTTCATCGAGGTGATGGGTAACCGTTTGTGGTGGTGTGAAATCGTGGGTGGTGTCGAAAGTGGGATTGTCGTGAATGGTTGTATGCGACTATTTGGTATTTTCGGCCGTAAATGTGGTTGTTTCGTATAAAACGTTTGAGGGGATAATTTGTTCGATTAGATTTATATTTATTGTCGTTTGGGTTTGTTGATGGTTCGATTGATGCCAATTTGAGGATTTAATATTGTGGGATGCATGAATTGAAGGAGAAGAGTTTAGCAAAATGGACGTTGTTACTGTCGAATGTTCTAATATTACAACAAAATGATTTGAGGCAATTTTGATTGATGTGAGGCCATGCGTAGGTTTATCGAGGCGAGGAATAGGTTTATCGAGGCGAGGAATAACTGTCTGTGGTGGTGCTGATCATGGGTGGTGTCGAAAGTGGGATCATCGTGAAGGTTGTATACGGCTGTTTGGTATTTTAAGCTATAAATGTGGTTGTTTCAGATAAAATGGTGACAATATTGTAGAGGAAGATGTTGGGGAGAGTGAGGCAAGACTGGTGGTGGTGGAGTCCGACAGGTGTTGTGGCCGGAAGGTCACCCTATGTGGATCTATAGGTGACGTCTTGGTGGGGTTGTGAAAGTAGTGGTAGTGGAGAATTTAAGATTTATTTGTAATGTTTTAAAAAATCTAGAACTATGATTGCAATTAGTTATTTATTTTTCTTTTCTTTTGTTTTATTTAAATAGGAGGGTAAAATCGTCATTTATTGAAAAAATGGAAGAAAATGACCTTTTGCGTAATGAAAGGTGAAATGTAAGGGTGAAAATACTAAAAAAAGAAAGGTATGGAATTTTGCACAATAACATTGAAAGGTATGAACCTTTTGTGCTAATTTCCCTCATACCTTTTGTGCTAATTTCCAGCTGTTTGGTGAAAATTAAAATCAACTTTTTAATTTAAATCAAAATCAACAATTAATTTCAATCATATATTTCTTAGGACTCAAAACTTTTAAATCATATATTTTATTAATTTTTATCAAAATTTATCAAAATTCTAATTTTAATCCCTATTAGCTTAATAAGGAAAAAAAAAAATTGCTATTGCCTCCAAGTTTATTTAAATTGAGAATCTAAATATCTCAATTTGAAGGCCAAAACCCATTAAAATTTTCCCACTGAATGACCTAAAAGTTCTCTCCTTATATAGTAAATGTCTAGCCGACAAATTTATTTCCTTTAAATTGTCAATTAATATCCAGGCTTTCTCCATTCCAACGCTCATTAAAATTATTTACTTCGCTTCTTCAATTTTTGCCTAATTGTCAACTTTCTGAAACTGATTTTTTTTTTTTAAGAAAAAAATATATCAATTTTATAAGTCATTAATTATTATACCTATATCTCCTAACCATTTGAAGATTTCCACTTAACAAGGCTATTAATATTCTCATCATTGCTCATCTATAATTTGTTCTAATGCATTTAATCATGTCCTCTCGTTTATGATTTGCTTGACTAAGCATATAAAGTTAGTTTTAAATAATTTTTTTTTCATATTTATACTTTATTAGAAGTTTTTAAATATAGTTTTTGATCAAATCTAAAATTTTCTTTATTTACTTTTTATTTATACTTAAATTAGTCAAACTTACATGCTTCTACCATCTTTACTTGATGGTCTTAATCATTTTTCGCTAAACATTTTCTTAGCTTTTTACCATTTTTATTTTTTAAAAAGTATTTTACTTTTTATTTTTAAGCTTAATCAAACAATTGATGACCACTGGCACATTGGCTTGAATTATTGTGAGCTCATTTTGCAAAATTGGGGCCATGTCTTTACGGGATTCACTCGGAATGACAACTACGTGAACGTGAATGATGACACGTCAGTTATGCCAATAATTGATAAAAAAATTTACATCTGAATAACTCCACTAGCCACAATTCCTAGAAAACAGTTCACACATAAGACACCATGAAATCAAAAACAACTACCTAAAAACTCAATCAAACCTATCAACTAGATTATTAATAAATATGAAATAAAACATTTAAATATTAACACCCTCCCTTAAACTGAAATACACAGAAATTAGTTTAAAAGAAAATCAACCATCTAGATAGTCTTCCTTTACAGCAACACTTGAGCAAACTCCAAGTAGACCACGCAACTTCACAAATGTAGCCAACTCGAGAGGCTTGGTTTGTATATCTGCAACTTGGTCTTCACTTCGACAATAAACTAGTTTGATTGTTCCATCATTGGTGAGATCTCTTAAAAAATAATATTTCACATCGATATGTTTGCTTATGCCATGTAGCACAGGATTCTTGAAGAGTTTGATTGCTGAGTTGCTTTCACAAAAAATTGTAGTAGCTTCAACTTGCTTTAACTGTATCTCTTCAAGAATTCTTCTAAACCAAATAGCTTAACAAGCACAAGTTGTTGCAGCAATAAATTCAGCTTCTGTAGTTGACAAGGTGACAATTGGTTGCTTCTTAGAAGACCATGAAACAACCCCTGTGCCCAACATAAAAACATAACTTGAAGTGCTCCTTCTATCATCTTGATCTCATGCATAATCACTGTCAATAAACCCAAACAACTCTAGCTTTTCACCGTTCTTGTAGAACAGCCCAAAATCTTTAGTTCCTTGCAAGTAACGATGGATTCTCTTGGCTGCTAACAAATGCATTTATGTTGGATTCTCCATAGATCTACTTATTAAACTCACAGAATACATTATGTCTGGCCTTGTTATAGTTAAATACATCAAATTGCCAACAATTTGCTTGTAAAGTGTGCTATCCACCTTCTTCCCTTCATGATTTTTGGTTAGCTTCAAGCCAAACTCAGTTGGTATGCTCACAGGATTACAATCCTTCATCCGAAACCTATCCTAAATATCTCGCACATACTTCTCTTGAGAAATGAAGATCTCATTAGCTGCTTGCACTACTTCTATGCTAAGGAAGTAATGCATCATACCAAGGTCAGTCATTTCAAATTCAACCAACATGGATTTCTTGAATTCTTTAAACATGACACCATCATTTCCAGTAAATATAAGATCGTCTACATATAAGCAAACAATGAGTAGTTTCCCTTTATCTCCAATTTTAACGAAAAGTGTGTGCTCATAAAGACATTTGTGAAAGCCTTCTTTCAAAAAATAAGCCTCAATACGACTATACCAAACTCGTGGAACTTGTTTTAATCCATAAAGAGCTTTCTTTAGTCTGTACACTTTATGCTAATTTTTTTATCTTAATATAACCAAGGGGTTGTTCTAAAAATACCTGTTCCTCCAAGTTTTCATGCAAGAATGCCGATTTGACATCCAGTTGGAAAAAAGGCCATAAGTTCTACGCCGCTAATGCAATCACCAATCTGATTGTATCATGTCTTGCAACGGGAGCAAAAACTTCTGTATAATCGATCCCATATTCCTGCTTATAGCCCTTAGCTACCAAACACACCTTATACTTATCAACTTCACCATTTTCCTTTAATTTTGTTTTGAAGACCCATTTTACACCAATGGTTTTAAGCCCATTCGGAAGACCAGTCAACTCCCAAGTATCATTTCTTTCAATGGCGTCAATTTCATCATCCATCGCCTTCCGCCATTTTGCTTCTTTGACGGCACTTTCAAAAGTTGTAGGATCACAATCTGAAAATAAGGCAAAATGAGTGATTGGATCTTCAATTTTAGTCATCTCATAGTCTTCCATCCATGCGGGCCTTTTTCGAATATGACGAGGAGATCGAGCTACTGCATCAATAGCTTCTACTGCTGTTGGCCAAATCTCAGCAGCTGTTGGAGTTACTTCTAGTGAATTTTCAGGCATAAAGGCTGTTGGAGTTGGCTCTTTTTCAGAATCATTATCAAAAAGAAATTGAGTAGGTTGTTACTTATTCCAATCCCAACTGTTTTCCTCATCAAAGATAACGTCTCGACTGGTCACAATCTTTTTGGTTAGGGGATTAAACAATTTATACGCTTTGGATGCTTTACTAACTCCAAGAAACACAAACTTTTCCCCTTTATCATCAAGTTTCTTCCTTTTCTCATCTGGGATATGTGCATAAGCAATGCAGCCAAAAATTTTTAAATGATCCACAACTGTTCTCCTTCCACTCCAAGCCTCCTCTGGTGTCATATTTTGAATAGCAAATGTAGGACTTCTGTTCAAGATGTGAATACTCCAATTTACTGCTTCGGGCCAAAAAGTTTTTGGAATTCTCCCTCTTGCCAACAAGCTTCTCATCATATTAAGGATGGTTCTGTTTTTCCTCTTTGATACACCATTTTGTTGTCGTGTATAAGCAGTTGTCAGCTCTCTTTGAATGCCATGAACTTCACAAAAAACTTCAAATTCAGTTGAGCAATATTCTCCACCACGATCTATTCGGAGGGTCTTAATGGTCTTTTGCGTTTCATTTTCCACAAAAGCCTTGAAGCTTTTAAATGCACAAAAAGCTTCAAATTTTTCCTGTAAAAAATAAATCCACGTTTTTCGAGTGTAATCATCAATGAAGGTAATTAAGTAATTTTTACCTCCATTTGAAATTGGTGTTATAGGATCACAAATATCGGAATGAACTAGCTCCAAAACACCTTTTGCTCTCCATGACTTCCCTTGAGGAAATTGAGAACGATATTGTTTGCCAACAATACATTCTTTACAAACTTGGGAAGGAAATTCAAGGAATACTAATTTAAGGAAGACCTATCACCATATTTTTCTGCTGGAGGGTCTTTAGTCCACCAAAACTCAAGTGGCCATAACGAAAATGCCACGGCCAAGAAGAATCTTTTACTTTGAGTACCAAACAAGATTGCACACTTTCAATCTTCAATGGAAACAATCTGTTTGAACTCATTTTCACAACAGCAATAGCTCCTCTAGTAGGATCATAAATCTCACAAACACCCTTTTGAATAGTAATTACATAACACTTTTCTTGCAATTGACCAGCACTTAACAAATTGCTTTTCAAGTCAGGAACATAAAAGACATTAAGAATTATTTCTACAAAACCATTCTTGGTTCTTATCTCAATATCACCCTTTCCCATTACCCTCACAATGGAACAATCACCAAAACTTACTGTAGAATGAAAGCCTCCATTTAAATAAGAAAAAGAAGACTTACTTCCACACATGTGGTTACTGCAGCCCGTATCCACATACCAAACATTAGAGTCAGGAACCTGATTGGCTTGAACGGTCATCAACAAAGTTTCCACTTCCTTCGTAGCAAAATTCAATTGCTCTTCCTTTTCTTTGTCATTAGGCAGCCTAGTGAGACATTCAGAACGATAATATCCAAATTTATGACATCGAAAGCACCTACCTTGGATTTTTCAAAATGTTGATCTCGTCCTCTGCCTCTCCCCTGAAATTGATCATTATTGACTTTGAAAAACCTGCTAGCATCTCTATTGCCTCGATCTTCCCTTCCTTTGCCTCTCTCAACCTTTATCCCTTCCTCTAGAGTTTGAGAAATGAGTAGAGGTAGAAGCCTTCAAAGCTTGTTCCTCCGAAGTTGAACTTCTGTTCATGGACCAGCAGAGAACTCTGCAGTTCATCAAGAGAGAATGCGTCTATGTCTTTTGATTCTTCAATGGAACACACGACATAGTCAAGCGTTGGTTTCAGGGAATGCAATATTTTTTCCACAATGGTGACATCTTCCATCTTCTTACCATGAAATCGCATTTTGTTGCTTATCTCCATAGTCCTGGCACAGTAGCTGGTGATAGATTCCCCATCCTTCATTTGTAGAGTCTCAAAATCTCTTCTCAAAGCTTGAAGCTGTGCACGCTTCACTCTAGCTGAGCCTTGATATTTCTTTTTCATGGAATCCCAAATATCTTTGGAAGTTTCTTTGCAAAGAATCGTTTCCAAGGTGCGACGATCAATGGCCTGAAAAAGGTAAATTTTTACCTTCAAATCTTTTGGCTTTCGCGCTTCCAATTCTGTTTTCTGGACATCCCTCAAGACTGTAGTTGCTGCAAGTGCTTCAATTCCAGATTTAACGATCGGCCAATACTCTTTTGATCGTAGAAAATTCTCCATTGGCATACTGCAATGGTCATAGTGGCCATCAAAACGTGGGATTGCTGCCTGCACAAAATTTGAATCGGAAGCCATCGATTCCTAAACCCAGAAATCAAAATGAGAAAATAGCTGCGGCTATTTTGAACTATTTGTGGAGACTCTCACTGTTTGGGAAGAATTTCTCGCTTGATTTCTCTCACACGTTTCTGGCTCTGATGCCACTGATACAAAGCTTAAGGAAAGTAACGAAAAGAGATGAGTTGAAGGGAAGACTCTGTGCATTCAATTGATAAAGAAAAAGGGCCTATATATAGGCTTTACATCAGAATAACTCCACTAGCCACGACTCCTAGAAAACAGTTCACACATAAGACACCACGAAATAAAAAACAACTACCTAAAGACTCAGTCAAACCTATCAACTAGACTATTAATAAATATGAAATAAAACATTTAAATCTTAACAAACTTTACCCGAATTTACGCCCGAGCCCGCACCGTTGTGTGTATGTATGTGTGTGTGTGTGTGTATATATATATATAGAAAATTGTTTTTGACAAATAATTGTGACCTTTAAATTAAGCAAATTCAACGGTCGGTATATATTTCATTAGGATTATGAGAGAGTTAGTTATAACCACTTGAGATCCATGAGATACTAACCGTTAGATTTGTTTCATCTAAAGGTCACGATTATTTGTTAAAAATACTTGTTAAATTCATGTGTAGGAGGAACTCTTCCCTATATATATATATATTAGTGATCAAATGTCCCAATTAATATATTAATGCAACCTTTCAATTTTGTACCTCAATTAAATAATAACCTAATTGATGGATTACAATGTAAATCATGAAAATTAATAAGGACTTTGTTGATGAAAAATAAAAATTGCTTTGTTAATGAAAAATAAAAACTTAATGGATGAGTTGTAATGTAAATCATGAAAATTAATAAGGATTTTGTTGATAAAAATTAAAAAATTGCTTATGATAAGTTACTAAATTTCTATGATTTTTTTTTTCAATAATTGAATGTCAGTTTCACTCCTTATATTAATTCCAACCCAAATAATAAATATCAATTAAATATTTCACCACTTATATTAATTCTAAACCTAATAATAAATATTAATTAAATTAGTAATAAGGGATTTGTCAATGAAAATTAAAAGTTGTAAAGAAAAAAAATTAATTGAATTTTAGTAATTGAATTTCCTTGTGTAATTTCTTTTTTATTCATTGAATCTCCTCATTAATATCAATACAACCTTTAAAATATTTGTAACCTCAATTAAACAATAATTTAATGGATGAATTATAATGTGAATCATGAAGATTAAAAATTGCTATGTTGATAAAATATAAAAAGTCATTGTATGAATTATAATGTAAATCATGAAGATTAATAAGAGTTTTGTTGATGAAAAATAAAAATTGTAAGAACAAAATGGTCTATTGAGTAGTAAGGCACTGATTTTATTTTTTATTTTTTGATATAATCGAATATTAGTTTCACTCCTTCTATTAAATCCAATCCAAAATGATAAATATTAATTAAATATTTCATTCCTTATATTATATTAATTCTAAACCAAATGATAAATACTAATCAAATTGGTATTCCAATTATGAGGATATAGTGGGCATATAGTTAAATATGTAGGGGTAAATCTGGTATTTAAAAGTTTCTCCACCATCCCCTCTTTTAATATATTGTAGATAGATAAAGTTGTCGCCCCGAGGCATAATCCAATGACGCAAAGGATAGGAGAGAGGTAGTCTCAACCTTACTGGCAGCCGCATTGTGAGGGTTTGATTCATGAGATATAGAATTGGACTCTTTGTGAACACCAGTGTACGGGCAATCTCTTGTTCCCTAATCTGTTGGGGCACATCTCGCGATTTATGTCCTTCACGATACTCCAGGGACGGAGTGTGGGGGCCCTCAAGTTTGGGGTTCAACCTTTTAGATAGATAAAGTCTTATATTTAGTCGCTATTTGGTGATAATTAAAATCAACTTTTTAATTTAAATCAAAATCGACGATTAATTTCAATCATATATTTTATAACTCAAAACTTTTCAATCATATATTTTATCAATTTTTATCAAAATTTACTAAAATTATAATTTTAATCCCTATTAAACAAGGGCTTAATAAAAATAAAATAAAATAACAAAAAAATTGCTATTGCCTCCATGTTTATTTAAGATGCTATTTTGAAAATAAATCGATGACTATGAAAAGAGTGTGAAATTTCACCTTGACGATTATTCTATGTTTAGCTCATATTTATAAATACTTTTAACACATCTTGAGAAACTTACAAGTACTATTCAACTTTTTGTTTCTTGACGATTAAACTTGTGTGTTAAGTGAATTTAATCGAGTAGCAAAATTAGAAGTATTGTATCTTATGTAGCAAGTTCATCATGAACTTTTAAATTGTGACATATTGAACCTCAACCTTTTACTAATGTTACACAAATAATCCTGGACATTAGGAACCATCCAAATTTATATTCCAATGTCACTTGCAAGGCATATGAAACTCGAATAATTTTCAATAAGAAACGAGAATCTAAATATCTCAATTTGAAGGCCAAAACCCATTAAAATTTTCCCACCGAATGACCTAAAAGTTCTCTCCTTATATAGTAAATGTCTAGTCGTCAAAATTATTTCCTTTAAATTGTCAATTAGAGGGTGTTTGGGAGCCATTTTTATGTAAAAATGTATTTTGAAATAATAAATTGATAAAAAAATGTATGGTTGAAAAATAAAGATTTTTTTTTATTTACGTGTAATATTATTTTAATAAAGAATGTGTGATTGAAAAAAAAAAGAGAAAAATGTATTTAAAAAAAAATGAATATCAAACGGGGCCTTAATATCCAGGCTTTCTCCATTCCAACGCTCATTAAAATTATTTACTTCGCTTCTTCAATTTTTGCCTAATTGTCAACTTTCTGAAACTGATTTTTTTTTTTTTTAAGAAAAAAATATATCAATTTTATACGTCATTAATTATTATACCTATATCTCCTAACCATTTGAAGATTTCCACTTAACAAGGCTATTAATATTCTCATCATTGCTCATCTATAATTTGTTCTAATGCATTTAATCATGTCCTCTCGTTTATGATTTGCTTGACTAACCATATAAAGTTAGTTTTAAATAATTTTTATTCATATTTAAGCTTTATTAGAAGTTTTTAATTACATTTTTTTGATCAAATCTAAAACTGTCTTTATTTACATTTTAAAAGAAATACTTTTTATTTATACTTAAATTAGTCAAACTTACATGCTTCTACCATCTTTATTTGATGGTCTTAATCATTTTTCGCTAAACATTTTTTTAGCTTTTTACCATTTTTACTTTTAAAAATGTATTTTACTTATTTTTAAGCTTAATCAAACAATTGATGACCACTGGCACAGCGGCTCGAATTATTGTGAGTTCATCTTGCAAATTTGGGTCCATGTCTTTACGGGATTCACTCGGAATGACAACTACGTGAACGCGAATGATGACACGTCAATTATGCCAATAATTGATAATAAATTTATTTCCTTAGTTATTATATATTAGAAATATACAGATTTTGCCCATATTTGAGCCTCATTCTTTAGAAAAAATGTATTTTTCAACAATATTTTGATATTATTTCAACCACATATTCTTCAATAAAATAATATTAAATGTAGATTCAAATTTTTTTTTTTTAATGACATATTTTTCATCAATATACTTTTAAAAAATTTATTAAACTTTATATTATTAATTAAATTCTCCATCTATTATCATGCTGGATTATGGCCCCTCATTTCTCGCTTGAGCAGTCTTGTCAATCACAGCAAAAGCAAACTATCAGAATTTTTGTTAGGTATAAAAGTAATTACATGTAATTTTTTTGGTTCTAATTATATGTTTGGATTATTTTCACAATTACTTTTTATTTTAACGAAAAGATATTAAATTATTATTTGTTGTAGTTGAACTTGCTTATAACTAAACTTGGTAAGTTAATGATAATTCAATTACGTCTTTAATTAATGAGTATTAACTCGTAGAATATTTCTTGAGGAATCATAAATAATGGTTAGCAAAACTGACGTTATATTAAATAAAGGTCTAATTTCTTGTCTGAGGTCCATTATAATTTAATAATATATTTTGACATTGTAGATTGATGTAGAATGTATGGTTAAAAAATAAAATAAAAAATTTAGATTTGCGTATAATATGATTTTATTGAAGAATACGTGATTGAAAAGAAAAGAAAAACTGTATTTTGAGAATAATGAGGATCAAACAAGAGTTTAATATGATTACGATTATTTTGCATGTAAGAAAAGTGAGTAGTGATAAATTATGCAATAATGAGGCTTTGTTTGTCTTCCTTTCTATCACATTTTGCCACATAATTTTTTTTACAGTACTCATTTTTTTTACATAATACATTCTTCATTAAAATATTATTACACGTAAATCAAAATTTTTTTTTTAACCATACATTTCAACATCAATCACTATTCCATAAAATATTACACATAAATAATGGAACGTAAACAAGCACTAATTTTAGTTTGGAGTTATTGTTATAACCGTTGGCACTTCATAAAAATTTAAAACATCAAAGAAAAAAATATTATCTTTCAACACAGGGTTGACGTGGCTTAAATCGAGAAAGAAAGAAAGAAAAAAAAAACATCGTGTAAAATTTTAATTTGTAAAGAAAACAATTATGATTTACTGAAATATCATTAGGTCGAATGGGGTCAAGTCTGGTATAAAGAAACCCATTAGGTCATGGGTGCATTCTTTGTTAACACTACTTCGAACATAACAACACGTTTTAACTTAAGTTAATTATATTCGTACTATAATTTTTATTTTTTACACCACATTTTAATTATATTTAAGTTTTTAATCTTTATTCTTTAAACACAATCTAGTCCGGTCTACGAACAAGTTCTAACTTTATGTTTGACAATAACACGTTTGTTGTATGATATTAAGGAGTGTTCGACAAAAGTTTTCAACTTATTTTTCTTTAACATTGTGCTATCTAGCCTACCA